GATAAAAATAATAAATTTTTAGGATTTGTTTTATGGTTAAGATATATTGATTTTCAGAAAGATGAGAAATAAGATTTTGTTAAGTTCCGATATAAGCTTCTGTTATAAAAATGCAGAACCAGATGCAGAAGCGGATGTGAAAATGTATGCGGAACTTCCGTAATTGCGGAAGCGGAAACAGAAGTCTGTTGCAGCACTAATATATATACTTTTCACGTAATTCGTTCATTAAAAGTTTTCAAATATAAAATATCACTGAAGATTTGAAAATGCGGCAAATAACCTAAAAGCTGACGCTCTTTCTAATTGAAATAATTACAATCGCCGCTCACTTAACCGGAAGTCCATACCAACTAGCTTATTTTAAACGGAATGCCTTTATATTTTTTATGACATTTTTAGATTCAGCAAATCTTTTTAGCCAGACTTTGATTATACAATTATATTATATTGTAGTTTTCGAGACATTTCGATTCAAAATCTTCAGAAGAAATGTCTCGAAAACTATTATTCGAGTCGATCTAAAAAGGTTCGCTGAATCTAAAAAATATAGCATTCCATTTAAAATAAGCTGGTTGGTGTCGACTTCCGGTATAACCGGAAGTAACCGGCGATTACAAATATTTTAATTAGAAAGAGCGTCAGCTTTTAGGTTATTTACCGCATTTTCAAATCCCTAGTAGTACTTTATGTTAAAACACTTTTAATAAACTGGTTACATGAAAAAACCCTGTATATTTGTACCTACTGTAGTTTCCGAGATATTGAAACGCCCTACTAGAGATATAAATTTTTGGTAACACGGAAGGAAAAACATATTCATTTAGATAAACAACAATTATACACTTTTCTCGCTTCGATTTTACTTAGAGCAGAGAAGAGAGACTAGTATAGAAGTCCAATGCTGGGTTAATAATCCGGACTTCGTTTCGGATAACATGTCGGTAAATCTCGAAGCTTCTGTCATCCGACCGGTAGTTGTCGCTTCGGAAAATCAAAATTCATTAGATTTTTCTTTACAAACTTGGCTTACAACAGCAAAGAAAAAAGACTTATGCGTTCTATGATCCCACCACTTCTACTATTTACCCCTGCCATTACTGCGTTCACTCTTTGCTCCACCTCAATACAGGGTTGAGCGCTCATTTTCATAGCCACGCCATCTCCTGGTTCTATTTAGAATTTCTTACTCACTTTTTAGTCCTCCATTTGAATTGGACTTCTATACTAGTCTCTCTTCTCAGAACTGAGCATTCTACTGCGACAAAAAATCCCACTGATGTGGCCTTCTATGGGTCTGTATTCTTTGGTGGCAGCATATATAATTTAAAAAATAACGGTTTTTTAGTTTTAAAGCTAGCTACTTTGCACCCCTTATCAACATCATTAATATTGATTGATTGTTAATAAACTATCCACATTTTGATGGAAAAAACCTTTTCCCATCATCAATAATTTAGTGTCTTTTGGTGTTAATATTATTTAAATACTAACTAAGGAAACACTAGCAATAGCAAATAACAATTTATATACAACAAGAACAAACAAAAACACAAGTAACAAAAAGGCACAAGGAAAATCAAACATATATACGAGAACAAAGTGACAAAAAGAATAATGCAATAGTAACAATAACAAACACTTACTTTACAAGTGGTAGACGGCAGACTGTGTCAAGATATTTTTTTTTTTTAACCCTGGCTTTGGGGGAAAAATCTTCGTAAGACACCCCACACTTNTGTAGCATAATTCCAAATTCAATCATATTTGTCTGCGGAGCTCGTTTCTTCACCGATCATCGAGCGAGAACTAGACAAAAGTGTACAGTACCATTTGCAAAATTATTTAAACTGCCTCGTTAAAATTTAAGAATATGCTTTATTTAAAATCATATTTAGCAAAAAAAAAAAACAGGTGAATTAACTTAACGCTCTACACACCTATAAAACTTTTGCTTTGTTTTCTATTGTTAGTTTATATACATTTTTGTTTTAAGAAAATGCTAAACATTTTCGTCTAGTACTGTATAGTTCTAGCCGATCTCCTAAGACCGCCTATCGAGAGCTCTGTTCGTTCAAGCTCGTTTTGCTCACGCCTAGTGTGTATTCTTTCTATCTTTGCGCAGATTTATTCAAGGTTACAATTCAAACAAATTCAAATGGGCTGTACTTACACGTATACAAAATACCACGGTTGATGTGATGCCTTTTCTCAAGCTTTGTACTACGCATGCGCGTACAAACGTATCAACACACGTACAACGCTGAGACCGAAGCAAACTCTCATTAGTGCCTTGGTAAACACGAGTAGAGGGGGTACGATGCAGAGCACAAAGAGAACCACGAACATAAGAAACACTGTATAATGCTTCCTATCTCATTTNTTTACAAACTTGGCTTACAACAGCAAAGTAAAAAGACTTATGCGTTCTATGATCCCACCACTTCTACTATTTACCCCTGCCACTACTGCGTTCACTCTTTGCTCCGACTCAATACAGCGTTGAGGCGCTCATTTTCATAGCAACGCCATCTCCTGGTTCTGTTTAGAATTTCTTACTCACGTTTTAGTCCTCCATTTGAATTGGACTTCTATACTAGTTTCTCTTCTCTGCTTAGAGGAAACAAATTTGTTTTATTTAGTAGTTTCTTATTATTTCTGTTTTGATATTTATCGCAGCCATCTAATAAATGTGGTATTTATTCATTGTTTGAAACATCTGATATATTCTACATTTTATATCGAGTTTTCTTAACTGCGATAATAAGTTACCTAATCAGTGTAATCAATGATTCATTCATTGTTTCTTAAATGTTTTTTGTATGATGAGTATCGTACGATTGGAATTATATCTGAAAACATTTTTTTATAAATTTTTTCTACTACAAGCTATAAAATAAATTCTTGTTCCACTTGAGTTTTTATGAACATTTTTAAGTGCTTGAGTAATATATGTATATATAGATACATAAATTGGAAATGTAGATGTATACTGTAATTCTTCGTAAAAAAACTTTTGACGATGGTTTGAGTTTGTACAGAATAATTTTGGGTGAGAGGGGACATCGACGGAACAACCAGAAAAAAAAAACATGTGTGCAATTCACACGTGGTGGAAGTGAAACCTTCAAAAATTTTGGTTTCATAATCGCGACAATATTCTGCATTCGTTTTCGGCATATTTGAAGAATTTTATTATAAAAATGATGAAAAAACTCTACAAACATATAATACTGTGTTTTTCCATTTGGTAGATCTTAATCGGAATCCTTCGNAATTCAATAAGGATTTCGTCTTCTACAGCGGCGATATGGTTCTGGCGTTGACGTTCATGACCCTTACATGCAGGGTGTACATTACCGCTTTCTTTTAATCTCTGTACCGTATTTAAGACTGTTTGTCAATGAGGAAATCTTTCCTAGTAATATCGATGACTGTACAATTCGGACGTTGCATTGACATTGTTTTTAGATTCTCCATAAATTAATATCACATCACAAAGTTCTACTGCACTAAATGCCGTCGTAACACCTACTATTTTGCAGTTACCTATTACACTCCTTCACTGACCTACTGCCAATGACTTCGATTGACTGCATACGTACAAGTCTACAACGTTAAATGAACAAGAAACTAGTCAGAACTAGCTGTAAAATAAACGTTGTCAATTATAAATAATAAATAATGTATAAGTACTAAAATACAAAAGCAGGACTGGTCCTTATATCTGTATCTTCAAGTACGTTTCAAGTAAATTTCACATTACACATATACTTTTTAAGGAACCCTCGGAACCCGCTTTAGCCAGTACTTTACTTTTCAGTTTTAAGCATGCGTTATTTTTAAGTTATTAAGAGCTTATTTCAAAAAAAGACTTTAAAATAATATACACAATTTTAATTATCATTTACGGATACTTTCATTTCATGTTTTTTTGTATGTAGCTCATTGCAAGGTGGTCAAGACTACCTACATAATCAAACATATAAAAATCCGTAACGACAGATTAAATTTAATACTATACCCTAAGAACGTTATTTGTTTGGTAATTAAGTTGCATATTTATTAACGTTAAACCAATATTTATTACGTGCTACTCGTGACGCACGGATATCAGCTTATGCAAATCGATGTGCACAGATTAGGTCAGGCCTTTAAGGCGCCTTTTAAAAATATTCCTTGTTTAAGAGTTCAGTCTGAAATGATCTAGAAAAAAGATAAATGTTACTCCTTGCCTAGCCAGCTACTGGTAGAAAAATACGAATTGACGTAAAATTGAGATCAAGAAGATGTATTAATCTCTAGTTTGGATATTTAAACTCCGATGTGTAATGTACGTACAAGCAAATATACAAATCAACGTATGTACGAGGGACATTAAAAAAAAAACATGTGTGCAATTCACATGTGGTAAAAGTGAAACCTTCAAAACTTTTGGTTTCAAGATCAAGTTTCAAGATTTTATTATAAAAATGATGAAAAAACTTTACAAACATATAATTCGTACACGTATACAAAATACCACGGTTGTTGTGATTCCTTTCGTCAAGCATTGTACTACGCATGCGCGCACAAACAATAATGCTTCCTATCTCATTTTCTTTCACGTTAAATCTTATGAATTTATGTGTCTGTCTCTTTTTACTGTCGCTTTTTCGTTTCATCGACTTTCAAATCACAGCGATGCTAAAGAAGTTTTCACATCAAAAAAGCTGCACTTATTAGGTTAACCATAAAAACTGGAACAGTTCTGAAAATACGGATATAGTTCATGTGAGCAAAGCGAAAAGCTAAAAGATACAAGATCTATACAAAAAGTTTTGGCTCATTTATAATACTCTAAGTATTTCAGGTGGTAAACACGTGTGCTAGGTGATAAAATTAATGGAATTAGCTGAATGATTACCTACATTTCTTGTTTAAACGTCCCTATATTAGTTAGTGAGTTACATATTTTTTTGTTTCTTTTGAATTCAATGTTGGTTTTCTTTTTTTTTCAGTATGATATGCATCCAGGATAGATTAGGTCAAATTAACATTCATCATCAAGTTCACAACGACTCTCAAAAGATTGCTATAAGTGTGCCAGATGGGGCTATATGCAATAACAATGACAGTTCCCCAGAAACTCCTCAGGTACCTTACAACAAGCAGGGATGGATGGAGGGAATATTTGGCTGTCTCAGACCAGTTTTGTCCATCATTGGAAAGGCCAACGCCAATGAAATCAAAGGAAACCAAGGTATCTATCTCTTTTTCATGAATGATCTTTTTGGTTTGTAGATTTGAGAGAAATTTATTAGTTATTGCACTTAAAAATTAATAAATTATTTGTATCAGAGGGTACAAAAAAAACGAGAATTATCCAATTGTATTTTATTTAATATAAATTGAAAGTATTAGTCTTCTTCAAAAAACGGTTTTGATGGTATGCACTTGTCCCAATGCACCGGATTTTCCGCTACTCAAAACGTTTTGTATATTCATTTTTCATACATGTGGACTAATGCCGTTAAGCGATTATTTTTGGCCTAATTTACATGTCTTCATTCTTGGGGTTTTCTTCAAAAATTGGTTGAATCTCGGCCCTGTATACATGGGTGCGTTGTCATGATGGTGCACGCGCCTCACAATTCAATTCGTTCTTCTCACTGCCTCACGCAATCGCTGCAGTACTCATACTTGACTCACTGTGGAGGGATAAATTCAACGTGAACGATTCCATTGATATCGAAGAAGGAAATCATTGTGGGCTTTGGACTTGGTTTCACTTGTAGTGTTTTTTTTTGCTTTAGGCGATAATGTTTCGGACCGTTATTGCTGTTTTGCTTCAGGGTCACAACCGTAATATCAAAATTCGTCCCTTGCGATCACTTTTGACAAAAATCGTTGCCTATTTGTGGCTATTTTCGTAATTCCAGACACATTCTTATACTATTCTATCTGGTCAGCTAAAAGTAATCTAAATCTTCAGTAAGGATTCTTTGGCAGAAATTTTCTGTTATTTCTTCCAACCCGTCAGTTGTTTTGTGACGATTAAACATGATTGCGTTGGGTACTTTTTGAACATTTTTGATGTTTAGAGGGCGACCAGAATAGGATTCATCTTTAAGTGAAATTTGACTCTTGCTAAACTTGGTAAATGAATCGTAAATTCTTGCTTGCCTTAGAACTGCTTTTCCATGGGTTTTTTGAAGCATTGAAAATGCTTCTAACGGTGTTTTCTAAAAGAAACAGAATTTATTATAAGCGCGTTATTTTTTAAATTTTACCATCGCAAAATTGCCCAAAAAGTTGGAAGGAGTTTACCAAAAGCAATAATCATCCTGTCCGCAACGATGGTTTCTCATGAATGTTACATGTCGTTGGTTAATTGAGAATACAGGGTTACCATATGATTTTTTTTTATTTCTTGGAAAAATTGGTCGAGGTAATACATGTATACTTTTACCCAGGCATTTTCCGGAGTAAATTATCCGTCCTATGTGCAATTGATTGTAAAGTTTATGAAATTCAACAGATTTATACATACAAATAGGGAGGAGAATGTTTCTCGGGCACGAGGAGTTTACATTTCAAAGAAATCAATGAAATNAAAATGTACCAATTTTCATAAAATTCGCACTAAATCAATAAATAGGCTATCACAGTGGTCCGTGCCATTTTGAATATATTCGAAACCAAAGCACACAGAGGTGTGCTATTTTCACACATAGCTTGTGGATGAAATGACCTACTATTTCCACCATATTTTGGAAGTGGTAGATTTCAATTAATTTGAAAATAACACGTTTGCGTTAATAGTGGAAATAATAATAGTATTACAGAAGTATATTTGTTTTTCAGTTAGTTAAATCATAGTAGTGTTTATTTTCAATTTTTTTTGCTTTTGTTGCTTAAAGTTTTCTATATAGACATTAAAAATTCCATGAATTTTGCGTAAAATTGAAAAAAAAGCTCTAGAAACCGTGGTGAGAAAATAATTCTCGTTTTTTCATTTTTGGTAACCTTGAGTATCTGAATATCAGTGATTTTATATCATTGATCACAAGGAAAAGTTATACTTTTACATACGTTAGTATTGTAATTTGCGATAGTATTGTTTTCTATGAAACGGTTTTTATAATCTTAAATATTTTACGTTCGCGTTCGTGTAGTGTTTTGATACACGATATTTGATTAAATAATACGAATACTGTTGTTAATGATGCAATGTATTTTATATGATACATTTCTGATCAGATAATATAAAAAAATATAGGAGTTTGGAAGTAAATGTTTCACGTATGCTTTAAATGAGAAAAGAACAATTATGCTGACAACAAAAGTGAAAATAAGTTAATAAGGCGCGTATTAAAAATGGTTTGCTTCTTTGTTAATAAAAAAAACTACATTATTCTAGTATTTGTTATGAATGTATTACAATCAAAAGTTAAGATAAGACAAAATAGAATATAGGCAAAAATGCACAGTAAAATTTACTATCCAAAGAAGGAAACACTGAAAAATTTTCACTTTATTATTAAAAATGTTGCCAAAATTAAACATGGTAGTTATATTTATTGCCCTTTATATCCATATTTACCCATATCGGAAATCCTAATCTTATCATGCGAAAAGAGACTTTAGAATTTAAATGAGTTTGCATGACTTTTCAAGTAATTTATTTATGAATAATCAACACCGACGTTTCGTTTTTGGTGTAAATGTTCCTCAGGGCTACAGTAATATACAAAAATGCACAATACAACTCGTCATTTGAAGCGCAGTAAGTAGGTAATTACTAGATTATTAAGTCACTTCGTATTATGAGTTTATTTGCCATCAAAACGCTAGGCGAACGTGAACGAAAAGTAATAGCGTAATGTAATTAAAAAAAATGCAGATATGGTTCGTAAAATGAAAAATAAAGGTAGGCGGTGTCAATATGTTACCTTTTCGTGATAACATATCAATAAATTTTTTCCTATATTTGGAGTACCTACCTATTGATTCAATTTAATTCACTAACTGAACGATTTATCAATCTTGTGGGAAATTATGCGATTGTTAGTCATTTATTGAAACATGTCTAAAAATAGAAAAAAGTGAGAAAAACTCGGTTTCACAAATTTGTATATAATATTGACGGAATACCAAACACAGGTTTTAATGGATTAGTTCACAATATTGACGATGAAAAGTTTACTTGAGTTCCATGGATAGTAGCTAATTAACTAAAAATTTTAATACCTGTTGGGACTGCAATAATTATTGTAGTAGCTGAAGTAAAGTAAGCTGGAGTGTCTACATCTATACCTATTGTAAATACAGTAGAACCTATATAACTCGAACATCAAGGGGGACACTAAAAAATTCGAGTTATAGATTTTTCGACTTATGGAGTTTTTTGATTTAGGCGGATTTTGATTCGACTTGTAGAGGTTAAGGTTTGGTGTAGTTATATTGTCGGCAAACCCTTAAAGTCGATAACTTAGTTTTCTTCGAACTATAGACGTAATAAGTTTCAAATTATCGAGTTGTAAAGCATATAAAATAAAACACATGTTCGAGATACAAAGGTCCAATTTAATTTTTCGAGTTATAGAGTGAGTGCTTTATTGATGGTCAGTGTGATATCAGGTCTGTAATTATGTCTGTATTTCAATAAAGCTTGATAAGTGGTTTTCTAGTACATTTTGTGATTTGTATATAGGGTTGTTCGGAAAGTCATTTCGTTTTTTTTGTGGAAATGAAAGACAGTTTTCGTATAATAAACAAATACTTTATTAAATTATATATTGACCGTTCTGGTCCAACACCTTTTGCCATCTTTCTGGTAGTAGCATAATTCCACGCTCATAAAATTTTTGGTCTTTGCTGGCAAAAAACTGATCGAGGAG